AATGCTCCAATAAAGTCAGGAATATTTCTGTCGAACTGTTTGTGTTACAATTGATTTTTTGTAAAACTGAAGTATAAGAGCTAATCAGTCATTAAACAGTAACCGAAGAATTAGCTGTATGGTCTCTATATATATGTAATTCAAAGCGCTGATGATAGTATTTATGGAGGAGTTTGATTCTACTGATTTTAAAAAAAAGTCTTCACTACATTTGTTACCTTACACACAAGCGTCTGTATATTTGTGACGTATGTATACATTTGTGTGCACATAAATTAGACATATTTAAATAAGGATCAACAGAAAATTTAATTGGTAAAGAATCAAATGTCATATCAAACAAATACTTATGGCAATACATCATTATTATCAGTTACATATACAGCTTTCTTGGGAATGACATATTGAACATTTTGTAACGTGTAAACGATGTATTTGTCCATAGTTTACAGTTACATGTAAGTCAGCTCTGGTGGGACTGCAACAACTTACGCCATATTGCATACATAACCAATTATTATGGGTAACTATTTTCTATGTCGATTCATAAAATATGGCAGTCAGCTTTATGGCCGTTAGAATTATTTCACTAGTAAACTGCCGACTAAAGTGTACTCACTAATAATACGTGAACTGGTTCAGTCAGTCAGTAACAACGTAGAACTTCGTACGTACGTACGTCAGTTCGAGTCGCCACACCACATTAGCACAGAGATACAGTGGTCGATTCAAATCCCGTAGTGGTAGAGATAGTAAGAGTATAAGCAGTAATCGGGAAAATTAGTGTTTGGAGATTTTATTTAAAGAGTATAATACAGTGAAATAAATTTGGGAAGAGAAAAAAAAGAGATAAGGAGATCAAAATTTGGGAGAACACAAAGAGTGTATGCACCTGCGCCATTGCAAACGATTTTGAGCCATGTCATTCAGGGTCTCTAACCATCGGTTGCTATCATCTCGCGGTCCCCAACCAGGTAGTTTACACCTACCGACATGACTCAGTCCACTTGTCAGTGACTTCATGGACTTGTGCCATGTTTTGGTCAGGCCGCCCTTAGCTTTCTTCCAACGTACTCTTACACCATAAAACATCGCTCGTCGGAGAAGCCAGTGTTTGGGTACACGTAACACGTGTCTCAGACATCTCAACTGATGAAGTTTCACTACTTCATCAATTGATTTGCCATCCTTACCTAGTATCCGTTTCCTAACAACTGAGTTACTTACTTGATGGTCCCAGGATAAACGAGCAATGTTTCGAAGACACTTATGATCGAATACTGGTAACCTACGAATATCCTCTACTCTTACCGGTCATGTTTCACTACCATAAAGTAGTACGGGACGAACTGCTGCGCAGTAAACACGTCCTTTGGTTGATAGATGGATATCTCGCCTACGCCATAAATGACGCAAGTCGGCAAAAGCTAGTCGAGCCTTCTGTATCCATGCTGAGATTTCGTCACACACCAGACCACAAGGGCTGATGAGACTTCCAAGATAAGTGAAGTGATCGACACGCTCAACTAATTCACTCCCTATTATTAATTCGAGTGTCGATGCAACCCAATCCTGACGACCACCACTTGAGGTAATTAATTCTGATGACAGTTCGCCATAAGCTCTCACTCGACCAGTTATGTTCGAGTAGAAAGCATTTATAAGGTTGATGTACTTCTTTCAGTGACAAACACTGCCATAGAACCTCACGATCAACAGAGTCGAATGCCGCCTTAAGGTCGAGAAATACTACCATTGTGGGGCGTCCGAACGTGTGTCTGTGTTCTAGAACCTGACGTAGTGTGAATATCTGGTCTATACAACCACGTCCAGGTCGAAAACTAGCCTTTCTCTAGTCTGTTCTTCACGAGCTCTGGTTAGGCGTCGAAGTATTATTGAAACTAATATTTTAGACACTATATTAGTCAAACTGATTCCTCTGTGATTGTCACAGGAGGACTTTTGTCCTTTCTTATAGACTGGCACAATCAGTGATTGAGACCAGTCAGATGGGATTACGTCCAGTTCCCAAATTCTACCTAAGACCTCAGTTAATCTCACTGCTAATACTGAACCACCATCCTTAAAAATCTCAGGAGTAAACCTGTCAGGGCCTGCTGCTCTCCCTCGTTTCAGATTTCCAATGGCTTTTTCAACTTCGTAAAGGGACGGAGGACCTACATTAACTTGCCATTCAGGTTGACTGGAGATTATGAGAAACCGAAGTGTGGCTGAAGGCCAGTTGAACTGATCCCTAAAGTGTTCTGCCCATCGATCCAATCTCCTGGATTGAGAATGCATAATATGTCAATCTTTATCTGATGGTGTTTCGCTAACAGTCGGTTTCCTCAACAAGTCTGAACAATTGTCTGCTATTACCTATTGCCGCTGCCTTTTCCATCTCTCTTGCTTTCGCTACCCACCACTGTTCACGATCATTGCGTAGACTTTTTGTCAGCTTGCGCTTAAGCTGACTCCGCCTTTTGTTATGTTCAGAGCCAGATGGGATGAGTTTTCGAGCATCTATCAGTGCGATAGATGCTGCTGAGATCCAGTGTTGCTCCCTAACCTTACGGGTTACCGTACTGCTGTTTCCACAGCTTTTCGGATATCATTCCATGCTGCCTCAGGGTGGGCATCACATACATGGCTGCCTAACTGTTTTCCTAGATGTCCCTGAAATATACTCTTAGCTTGACTGTCATTAAGTAGGCGCCTAAGAGGTTTCCTTGCACTATCTTTCCTACGTCCAGTAAGACGCAGAGATACGCGCTGGCACTAGAGCATGATCTGAATCTAAGCACGTGCTCCAGAATGAGCGACAGTCTTCTATCGAGCCCCTCCATCGGTGGCTGATAGCGATGTGATCTATTTGGGTCCAACGTTGGGACGAATTAGGGGGTCGCCATGTTAAAAGATGTTTTTCCTTATGCTTAAAGTTAGTATTTGCAAGGAACAGGCGGTTATCTGAGCATAGCTGCAACAGACGGTCGCCATTATCTGTTCTTTGAGCCACGACACCATAAGATCCACCTAGGTGTCTTTCCCTATCGCTTAGTTTACCTACTTTAGCATTAAAGTCACCGGCCACTATTACTACATTCGAGGGCTTAGCTTTTCGGAGAAGGTCCGAAAGCTTTCTGTAAAACTCATCTTTTACATCATCTGAGCTGCAGTCAGTGGGAGAATAGGCAGAGACGACGAAGAGGCAACGACGAGTGACCCTATCCTTCCGAGTCCTTATTGTTCCGTTTGGTCGGATAGCGCACAAACGACTGTCTACTGGGATACACTCTAAGAGAGCTAGTTCTGCCCTAGGACTCAATGCTATACCTACGCCGACGAGTCCACGGGAAGCAGAATCAGGGCTTCCAGATACACGAAGCGTAAATCGAGTCGGTTCTTTATTTTGGCATGGTGAGGTCAAATGAATGACGCTACTCGGATCCTGTATGCGCGTTTCGGAGATGCAGCACACATCGATGACACGAGATTCTAAAGTTTGAGCTAAAGAAGCCTGCTGTCCTATTTCGCACAGTGTTCGGACGTTAAGAGCTCCTACGTGTAGTTTAGAGCGTGGTTTCAGGAGACCATGAACAGCGTTCCACGTACTCGAATCGTTTGCCCTAGCGGTGCGAGGTGATAAAGAGACGTGAGGAGGGTTAGTCATGGAGACAAGAGAGGTATTAGGAGGTGTAGGAAGGATTTGAATGTGACCAACTTGGTCTCGTGTGCTGTTACGGGTATGAGGGCTGATGTCACTTCCCGGCTGCCCACACCGTGGAAGGGTATTTCTTGAGGAACCTGAAGAGGAAATTGGATTAGTGTTGGTCTTAACGACCTGGGAGCGTGACCGCAGAGCCCAAGGGACAACTGCTTGAGGCCGGTCGCGCACGGCCTTTTCGTGGGGTTTTTTGACGTGTTAGCTCCGTTCTTCAAAGGGCCTTATCGCCGGAGATCCGTGAGATAAGGTGAGGTGTGACATTTTTAGGGTCGACCTTTTCTAACCCCACCCCTCCTTGTGGGAAGGCAGCATCGCTGCATATGCTCGTTGTCTGAGGGAAACACCTTACTGCTGTCACACCTCTCTACAGTCAGCAGTACGACTTCACCCTCAGACCTTGAGTTGCTGCTTTTAGTCTTACCGTTCTCCAATCGACCTGTCTGGCATGGTAGAACCTACAGGAACATATGCTCCAGCCGATATAGCTCGGTTGGGTCATCACGATAGGCAAGCCCGACCACCGCGTCAAGGTAGCAGCTTCGGTCGGGACGTGAACTGGTTACAAATTTTAAAATAAGTAGTTATATCATCTTACCGAAATTATCAACTTAGACTATCTATTCTGTTGCTACTATTACAAAATTTCCAGACAACTCTACAAACGAAGCGTGTAGTTGGTTGGTGAGTTTTAAGAAACCGAGGTTTCTCTGTCGAATGAAATACTTTGGACTGTCTATTGAAAAAAATTGGTGGAACCTAAAATGCTATTGTCATTATTATAATTCTAAGATTACAATAAATTGCATTTATAAACAATATATTTTCACTGCTGGTCACTCGATAGCAGATATTACTTTCGTAGATTATTTATTTTAAATTTACTGAGAAAATAGAGAATTGCACGGCATTATTACAGATATTATAACAAAATTTAAATATAAACGGTTACAGTTGGACGTCTAAATGAAGTTATTTACGCCAGTAATCAATTTTTTGTTAGTGACAAGAATTTTATGGGATTAAATTTATTAATGAGTTTCTGTCTGAAAGGATGCATATTTTTAACTGATTAGACCGAATACCTAACAGTGTTAGTTTGCCATGTCTTTACATAACATGATGAACAAAACTAATTGGTTTCATTATATTTGGAATTTTGTATTTATCCTAAATTTAATAGAATGTCATGTCCAATTATAGAAAAAAATTGAGAATAAAATACAACAAGTTTGATCAATGCATAATTACCCAAAGATGTATATTTATTATTGTCATTATAATCCCAACAATTGGGTAAATAACAATACATAACACTGTTCATTTATTTTATTGCTACACATATTGTACGTGTTGATAATATAAGAATAGGAGAAGCAGTTCGAATTATTATTATCTCAATTATTAATATTGATGGAAAGAGTCTATGTACACATTAAACAAACATCACTTCTATATAAATTTATCTTCACAGAAGCACACAAAGTGTATAATTAACAAAATATACAGTTTTATAATGAACTGATTGGAAGTGATTTAAAAAATCTCGTATGAAAGAAGAGAATGAAGAAAACGAAAAGGAAAGAAGAAATGTGAAGAAGAAAAAGAGGAATAAAATAACTGACCCGGGATATTATTATATTCTGAGATCAGCAAAATGTTTCTCAGCTAACTGTAAAATATCTTTGGTTGAACTGGAGACTATTTCTTGTAATTGTACTTCCGTATAGGTAGATGACATTGCTTCTGAAAATCGAAAAACTCATTTGAAACCAAGTGGATATAATTAAAACAAAATATACCAAGTGTTAACTAACTAGTTCTTTTACAATATGTATTCGAAACAGAGTTAAAGCAGTGAAAATCTCATATTTACCGAAAAATTGGCAACGTAAAAAGATGAAATTAGGTAAGGAATTAAAATAAGTGGGTTGTATATTAATCATAAATGAAAGCTACAATGAACTATAATAAGAAAAGACTTTGGGTTGCCAAAGATCAATTGCATATCTAATAACAATTAGTTTAAGACGAAAACCAGAGAATAATAAATAAATTATCCAATGTCACTAAACGATTAACTAGCCTTAACAGTGTAAATATTATGTAGATTATTTTATCCTAACTAGATTATTACAGTTTGTCCTGAATAGAATAAGTCTGAAAGATTTACTTTGATGAACTGTACATTTTATAGAATTGGGGAAATGGATAAATATGCCTTACAATTATGGAAGTCAGTATTTGAGAAAATAAGTATTATGACTACTGGACTATATGAATAAATTTATTCATTCAGTCGATTGACATTTTCACTGAACAAAGTGAAATTCTTGTTTGTAGCATTAAAATGTATCCTCGAATAAAGGCGTTTAGGAATCCCAATTGATAAGCTGGTGGTCGGAAACCCTGGACCCGGGTTTCGTGCTACTTGGCACTCGTCAGCAAGGTGTACCTGTATTGTTCTTGAGGGAACTGACACCCCCTGACGGATTCGATCCCGTGTCACTCAGCTTCGGAGTCAGAGATGTTACCACTGAGCTGTCCGGGCCGCGACTGACCTCCTGTAGGACTGAGATGTATTTAAATCCCTGCGTGATGATTAATGCCCTGTATGTCAGGTCCTTTTTAGTGTAGATCGATTGTAAATCCCTATTGGTAATTTACGAGAAACAGTAAACTATTGTTAACTACATTTAAACTTCTCAATTTCTTATTCTCAAATTAAGGAACAAAACCTGACAAAAATGTAAAATAATAATCTGGTTGAAAGAACGGTTGGTTGTTTTAATGGGTTTTTTCACTGTGTAGGTAAGCTCTGAAGGAAACTTTATATGAAGTAAGCAACAAGTTACATATAGTTCGCGACTATTAACGTCATGTCTCGAGAGTCAGTCAGCTACAACGTAGGACCAGGCACATATATGCATCGGTCCAAGTTGCCATACCTCATTAACACAAGATGGACACCGGATTCATAAAAGTAGTTAATTCAGAGGTGGTAATATATAAAAGAAAGATTGCAATAAGGATATAGTACAGGAAGAAAGAGTTATTTCGTAGAAGGAAAGATATGAAGCGATTTTAATCTCTTAGTTTAAGGGAAGATAGAGAGTGTATACACCGACGCCATTGTGATCGACTCGGCCATGTCACCAAGAGTCTCCAACCATTGGTTACGATAGTCACACGGACCCAAACCAAGTGGTCTGCATCTATCAACATGGCTCAGACTAGAAGTTAGTGACTTCAAGCACTGATGCCACGTTTCGGTTTGGCCGCCCCTAACTTTCTTCCATTCATCCCGAACACCGGTTAGCATTGCACGTCGTGGTAATCGGTGTTCGGGCATACGTAACACGTGGCCTAACCATCTCAGTCAATGAAGATTCACAACCTCATCAACTGATTTACCATCATTCCTTAATACCTAATAAGTTGTCAACGTGTTCGACTACTTCACTCCCTATCCTTACTTCAGGTGTTGACGCAGACCAGTCCTGAAGCAACAACTTGCATTTAGAGGGAGAGAAGCGCATTCCAAACATTCTGGCATTGTTGCCTAGTGCTACCAAAAGACTCTGCATTTTGTCAGCGTCTTCACCAAACAGGACTATATCATCTGCGTATTCTAAGTCGATAAGTGGACCTCCTGGAAAGAGATCAATACTCGAGAATTCAGTAGACGAGAATGTTATTTCCATCAGTAGGTCCATGATGAAGTTAAACAAAAATGGAGAAAGTGGACAGCCTTGACAGACACCACTTGAGGCTACAAAAGTAGATGACAGTTCGCCATAAGCTCTGACTCGACTGGTAGTGTTCGAGTAAAGAGCCTTCACAAGCTTTATGTACTTCTGAGGTACGCCTTTCAATGATAGACACTGCCACAGAATCTCGCGGTCTACCGAGTCAAATGCTGCTTTTAGGCCAAGAAAGACCACCATTGTCGGACGCCGATAAGTATGCCTATGTTCTAGAACCTGACGAATGGTTAATATGTGGTCGATGCAGCCACGACTAGTTCTGAAGCCAGCCAGATTTTCTCGTGTTTGCAGTTCACGAGTCTTAGTTAGGCGCCCGATAATTATAGAGGCTAGTATTTTAGATACTATATTAGTTAAACTAATCCCTCTGTGGTTGTCACAGGATGATTTTAACCCTCTTTTATATATTGGAACGATAAGTGATTGTGACCAGTCAGATGGAATAGCGTCTAACTCCCAGATCTTAGCTAAAATATTGGTCAACCTAATCGCTAAAATTGGACCACCATGCTTAAAGACCTCTGAAGCCAATCCATCTGGACCAGCTGCCCTTCCTCGTTTCAGATTAACTATAGCCTTTTGAACTTCTGCTAGAGTTGGGGGACCTACTTCAATCTTCTATTCACACTGTCTGGGAATGGAGGGTAGTTGTAGAGTAGCTGAAGGCCAGCTGAAATGTTCTGCCCATCGTTCTAAACGTTTGGACTGAGAGCAGATGAGGGTGTCGTCTTTTTCCGAAATAGTCTGACTTACACTTGACTTATTAGTTCCAGTTTCTTTTATTAGTCTGTTGGAGACTCTTGGTGACATGGCTCAGAATCGATCACAATGGCGTCGGTGTATACACTCTCTATCTTCCCTTAAACTAAGAGATTAAAATCGCTTCATATCTTTCCTTCTACGAAATAACTCTTTCTTCCTGTACTATATCCTTATTGCAATCTTTCTTTTATATATTACCACCTCTGAATTAACTACTTTTATGAATCCGGTGTCCATCTTGTGTTAATGAGGTATGGCAACTTGGACCGATGCATATATGTGCCTGGTCCTACGTTGTAGCTGACTGATTGACTGACTGCTGTCTTGCGTTCCCTATAGCCGCCGCCTTTTCCATCTCTTTTATCTCGAGAAGAAACATGCGTCTCAATGGAAAAAGTATTTAGAATATTGGAAGCTTCCATTGTACGTTATGACAACCAATATTAGCAAAGCCTCATAAAATGACGGGTTTATTGCTAGGAAAAATATGTAGGGATGCTGACAAAAGCTAGTCAAAAATTTTCCACCCTCAGAATGATTATGTCAGTAACGTTGGGAAAAACCAGAATTCAGAAGTCATGAAAAGACATTAGCTAGAATAATAATATATGAACTTAGTTGCAGTGTATTTCCATTGTCAGAGGTTGTTACAATAGTCACTGGAAGCCGTCAGGAAGTATGCATATCTGGATAGTTGTGTAATTGCTGGCAGTAGTGGGAGCAAACTTATGGTGATATCTTTGGTAAAATATGGGTAAACAATACATCGATGAGACGTATTCTCTCCAAGCCGTACTTACGAGTGTGTTTGACTGAAAGACTGTAAACTTCCAGTAGGGATAAGGTGCCGAAGAACCAAGCCTATTAATCAGGCCTTAATTGAATGGATAATGAGTGACCTAAAAGCTCATTTTTTTCATTTTTTTCTTGATGTTATTATTGGATTTTGTATGACATTCTTTTGAGTGCTTTATTGTACTAAAATTCATGTTATAAATAAACCAGTACACTTCATCACGAAAAGAACTTACCGGCTATAGCCGAACTAGTCTCTGGAGAGTACCATATAGTTAATATAAATTTCAATGATGCTTTAGGTCGTCTTTGACAACTAAGACAATAGCTATTCCTCTTGCGGTATTCGTAGTCTGAGTCCGACGTTGAACTTGAGTGCATACTGCCGTTAACCACTTCGCCACATTTATTAGGTGAATATGAACGAACTTCAGCGACCGGCTGACCACCTTCCATGAATTTATAGTCAAAATTTGATAATTAATCCTTCACAGAAAATAGGGTAACTAGTAAATACATCCTGTGGGGCATAGAAAAGTAATAAAATAAATACAGAAGTTGGTATGGTAGTGGTACTCTAGAAGCTTTTTGAAAAATGTACAGTATGACTGTATAGAATATTAGATTGATTATAATAGTTGGGGGAAATTGGGAATATTTTATAACGACAATTTACAAATCCCGGTAGCCAAGTTACTGTCTATGGCACAAACTTATTGTAAAGAAAAGCGATACTATGGAGATGTCTGAACGGAAGTAGGGGGAACGGCGTGTTAAAACGAGATGAAATAGACAACCGCCAATTGCTAAAACCGTTGACTCATCTCTTCAAAAATCAATAGTTAGTTGTAGTCTGGTATCTTGTCTATTGCAGACAGGAAAGGAACATAAACTAGATCGTTACTGTTTTGGGTTCTAAAGTATGCATACATGATGGCAATCGTACAACGAACATTTCATTTAGTCTCTGAAAAGTATTCTATTCAATCGGTCAAAAAGCTTAAAGTATCTGGATTTTTAGATAACAACACTAAAGATGTTTCGTTTTGAGTAAACTTTACCAAGTCTGTTCATTGTTTATCTATTTGTTCGAATTCGTCGAATATATTGCTTTTGTAGAATTTGGCTGCATAAAAGCACTCTGGCAAGACCAAAGTAAATAAACGGAAAGTTTAGGTTAAGATAAAACACTTTAAAACGAATGCTTTGGGAGCTATGCGTCAAATCCATAGTATTTCTGTAAGTATTGACTTGATGAGGGTAAAGGACTAGTCTAAATATTGCTAACTGACAGGAAAGATACAAAAATGGTGCATAAAAACGAGTACAAACATAGGAGAAATCTACTGTCTTAATTTAGTTTGATCAAGCGACCATTTAGAAAGATAAGCATTAAATACAGACAGGGAACTCAACGATATCTTATGAGAATAGTAACAAGTTAGTTCATTAAATCATAGGAGTTTACTAGATGGTCAAGTTGCGACATGAAGTACGTGTACATAAATCATTGTACTGTTTAGTCGTCAGTCATAATCAATGTACGATTTGGAACATGTGTGGGTTAATTCAAGTTGTCGATGTAACGACACAATCTTGAACACTACGTGATTGTACTCAACGACTTTCATTTCTTTCTACCACAGTTGGAGTTAGTATTCCCATCGTGATCTTGTTTTGGATTTCTGCTCATCGTACTGGTACTAAAAGGAGCAACTATTATTAACATTTATACTGTCTTAAATAATTACTGACGATATAACTTGTGTAAATATTCGAGGGTTTAGGAACTTTAGGAGCGAAATATCCCTGATGATATATGGAACTGACCAGTGAAGTTTTAGCTGTTGTGGAGAGCTAGACGGGAATATTTGCAGAAACAGACAGTGAAGAACAACAAATATAAGACGACTAGTGGTTTAGGTTACCACAAAATAACAACTGAAAATCAATTGAAATAAGGTGATATGAGTACTGAGAAAAATATGAACGAACAGTGGCTCAGATACAGTAGAGAGGTGATCAAGAACTGAAAATAAGTGGAACATAGACCGTTGTCAATTGGAAAAGATTAGACACATAAATGAGAGTTTGTCTTTGGGACTGCAGTGTGGTTCTCCACAGCCAAAATGAGCCAGATAGCATGCGAATCCTGAATAGTATTTATTTAGATTCCATTATTTTAAAGATGCTTTCAGGCCACTACGAGTATGGTTACAGAATAAACGATGAAATTGGCCAAAAGATATGTTAGCCTTAACTATATGATGAAGCCGAAACTGGCTTGATTTCAAAGATCTTACTGGAAATAGTTGAAATTCGTAGGAGCTTCATCACTAATAGATCTTAACCGGTCGATATTGTAATTTAACATAAGTGCAGATTGCTTCGTCGTCATCACAACTTTTCGTTTAACAACAGCTGAAGAAAGACGGCATAACATATTTAAAAAAGTCGACACTACACAAACATAAGCTGAGACATCACTACTTGACATAATTCACAACGATTACGCAGTAACTCACAGGCACTCCAAATCCGGAGATCTGAACTTCCCGCCCGTTTATAAGAAACCCAGACTTCCCTCGCTCTAGAAATGTTTAATAATTTGAATTCTTAGGTGACCCTGCTTTTTCTCTTATACCACCCTGAATGTTTTGTTTTAATTAACCGCCAAAAATGAAAGGCAAGCGTTACATAATGTGTTTTTTTCGGGGTGTTTAATTGGGTTGATTATGATTGTTTTTGGGTCTGGAACCTCATTATACTGTATCACCTAGTGCTCATCATGGTGTTCAATGTGATGATATTGGTGTGATGATACAGACTTTCGTTGTGAAGTTATAAGCAATTTCAACGTTCCCACCGGTTTAATTTTTTTGCTCAACAATATTTTGCTGCTCTTAAGTTTTCTTTACAATAAAGCGATGAAATTCTTAACTTACGTTGACGTAGCGTGATGAATTTTTCGTAGTTGAGTACTCAAATGTGCACAGATTATATTTTTATGTATTTTTCTAAATGACTTGAGTCACTTTACTGATAATTTTTGGAAAAAAGTACCAGTAAAGTATGCTTTGTTGAGATGTATTTCTGTTTTTCAGTATTAGTACTCTGAATTCGCTGTAGTTAAGAGGGAATAAAACTGAATGTACAGAGGGCAGCTACGCGTGCAATTCCGGAACTCCGGGGTTTATCATATAAAGAGCGGCTTGAAAAACTGAACCTCTTTACTCTGTCCTATCGCAGACTAAGGGGAGATCTAATCTTGATGTACAGAATACTGAGAAATGATTTCGGACCTAACTTATTTTCTCTTTCTTCCCACTAGATCGGGACACCCCAGAGGATAGCAGGCGAGTAGAAAAGCCAAGAACGAACAAAATACCCGTGGCATACAGGTTTTCACACCGAGTCATCAATACTTGGAACCTGCTGCCTGAAGCAGTGGTGTCCATACCTTCAATTGACTCTTTCAAGAGAAGACTGGACACACAGAAGCATACTAGAAAAGGAATAACATAGGCCGTAGGCCTTCTGTCCTTACTACTCAAATCTGAATCTGAAATCGCATTACATATGGGTCGTAAATTTTACCGCTCTCAATATGTTGATGATCCTTTAATTTGGAGAGATCTACAAGCGACTAACCTCACAAAACATTAGGTATCCCGAATAATGCATAAACTTAGGGGTCAAAATATCCCGTTCCTTTTTTAACGCTAGTATTAAATACTAATGTATAATAGGAATAAATCGATTTCTTACTTTGGGTAATCTTAGTACCACAATCCAATATCGGTCTCTCTTCTCACTGTCTTTCTCCGATTGACGGGGCATACTCTTAATTTCGGTATATAATTTTGGTTAATGATTGCATTACTCCGTTTTGAACTTCAAGTAAGCTGGATGAGTAACCTAAGCATCCCTATCTAAGTAGTTTCAAGGTATGGAATGCATCTGTAACATCAAGTCCTTTTGTTTTCTGGATCTCAATGTACTATGATTTAAGGTAAACACAATCTAATTTTTCAGTTTATTGCGTGTTCGGAGTTTAAGAATATTTGGAGTTTGTCTAGCGTTTTAGTTGAAGCTCCCAAGTCAGTAAGTTCCTGCTAATTCCTGGATGCTTCGGCGTTTTGAACATTTTCCTGGTCTACGTAACTAATTCATCAATATATACTATATCACTCTAAGCTATCGGCAAGCGGTAGATAATAACTTGACATATCTCCAAAGCTATTCCACTTTTGAAAGGCTAGTGCATGAGCCATTTATTGGCGTATCATGCGATACTAAGGTTGTCAAAGGTGCCATTCTTATTAATTTTAAAAACAGTCTGAATCAGGTTATTTCGCAGTATCTGAATACCTGTTTGATGAAGTTCCATCATTCCTTTTGGTCATGATAGTTGGTGTCACTCGAACACAAGCCACGTAAAGCTTAGGTTTAAGACATCTTAGTAATTCTTTTCAAACTCCTAACATTGAAAAAATTACGTTCCTTTTAGTCGTTTTATTCTCTCATAATTATGTTAATAGTAATTTTATGCATAAAATCATTTATATGGAACTCACAAATGAAACACTAGGTGGCACTAATTGTTTAGTTTAGACAAAATTTTCTGTAAGTTGTTTTCGTTTAGCTTGCCAAATTATCTAGTCACTATTCACACCAACCATACATAAACTAGTGTGACCTGGCTAAAAAGTTTTCCAATCAAAGGCTATTGTCTCTAAATTTCATATTGTTTAGCGGTATATTTACACTAAATTATTTTTACGTTATTTATCGATTCTTTAGACCTATGCGAATGGGTTGAATTTTTTGAGGCTGCTGGTGTTCCAGCCAAACTAAGGGAAACATATGCTGGCATTTTTGTTGAACATCGAATTAACAATTCAGTCCTTGCTGATTTAGATAAGGACCACTTGAAAGATATGGGGATCACAGTTATTGGAGATATTATTTCCATACTGAAGCAATGCAAAAAAATAAGACACGAGGCAAGTTGTCTATTTTCCTTGAAGTTATTTTGTTTAAGTTATCAGTTGCACCAACTCCTGTTGTCACTTCAACAACGTCGAAAGATTGCTCATCTGAAAATAAAAAAGCTGCGTCCAAAAGTATTTAATCATATGTTAACTTAGTTTTAGATTTAGATGTCGGCGTTTTAGTCCCAGTGCGTCGTCGAATGAATCCTGAGGTTGAAGGAAAATATATTGTTAAAATGCCCAAGGGGACGACTTTAAAGACCCAGAAAATTCTTGCATCCATGAAGCAAAAGAGTATGTTTATCTATTAATATATATATAATGAGATGATTTGACTTATCTACTGGTACCTTACTTGTTTTCCAAGTCAAATCAATTCACAAGATGACGGAATAAAATTAAGTTATATCCTAATGAAAGTATCACCTCACTAAGATACCAAAGAAAGGAGATTTTTGTAAACGTGAGAACTATAGATGAATCACACTACTAGGAAAAACTTTCAATTGTGTTGCTGAACCGGATGAAAGTTACAGTAGACGTTCAGCTTAGAGATCAACAGGCCGGATTTCGTAAGAATCGGTTATGCATAAACCAAATCGCGACTCTACGGATCATCGTTGAACAATCAATTGAATGGAACTCATCACTTTATATCAACTTCCTTGACGATGAGAAAGAGTTCGACAGTGTAGACAAGAGGATTTTATACCATCTTCTTCGACACCATGGTGTACTTGAAAACATCTTCAATATCATCCGGAATTCATACTACGGACTATACTGCGAAGTCGTTCATGCACACCAGCTGACAAATGCTTTCGAAGTGAAGAACGGTGTCAAACAAGACTGTCTACTGTGGCCCTTTTTCTTTCTTCTGGTGGTTGACTGGATTATGAAGACCACCACATATCAAGGATAGCACGGGATACAATGGACAGCTTGCAAGCAACTAGACGACTTGAACTTCGTAGATGACCTGGCTCTTCTATTCCATACACAGCGACAAAAGTGGATGAGGATGGCCAGTATAGCAGCAGCGTCCAAACAGTGAGTTTTACCATACACAAGGGAAAATGCAAGATCCTCAAATACAACACGGAGAACACCAACCAAATCACATTTGATTTAGAGGCTCTGGAGCAGGTGTAAAATTTTACGTACCTGGCCAGCATCATTGATAAGCAAGGAGGATCCGATGCAGAGGTGAAGGCGAGGATAGACAAAGTAAGGGCCACATTCGTACAATTGAAGAACTGTCAACCAACATCAACGTCAGAATCTTTGATACGAACGTCAAGAAAGTCCTACTGTACGGAAATGAAACTTGGAAAACTACAACCACAACTAAAAATGTACGGGGATTCATAAACAATTGTCTGCGTAAGGTACTAAATGTTCGTTGACTGGATGCCATCAGCAACAGCCTAATGTGGAAGAGAACAAACCAACTGTCAGATGAAAAGGAAATCAGCAAAGAACTCTGGATGTGGATAGGACACACATTTCGGAAATCATCAAACTGAATCAAGGGGCAAGCGCTTACCTGGAATCATGAAGGGAAATGGAAAAAATGAAGGTCGAAGAACACAGTGCGTCGAGAATTGGAAGTAGACATGAGAAGGATGAATAACAACTGGAAAGGATTGACCAGAACAGGGTTGGATGGAAAATGCTGGTGGGCGTCCTATGCTCCTCCATGAGGCATAACAGGTGTAAGTAGTGAAAGTGTACTCATAATTATAGATTGGTTACATCTCATGCTATCTAAGTTACCATGTTAGAAGTGTAGATATTCATTAAACATAGTTATTGTAGTTCATGGTACTTATCAGTTTGTTGAAATTATCAGGAAATTTCTATTAGACACTGAAAAGTTTTGTATTCTTATTACAGATAGATTTCTTTAACATTTTTGTATTAGGAAAATAAATTAATAGTTAAGGAACCCCACCGAGTCATTGGTTTGATGGTTCAAATTCCACTTCGTCTACTTTGGTTTGTACATCTGGATACATAAACCTGTACTCGTCAGTTCTGCGTATAGATAGATTTGTTTACTTGTATGGCTAGTAGTGTCTAGTTCGACTTGTATGATAGTTTGTACGCTTTCATGCTACGTTCTTAAAAGGATATTTATTGTGACGACTTTATATCAAGTAACATCTGTATATGTTACATAGTATCCTATTGTTTTTATTTGAATTTTTTGTACATTATTTTAGACAGTGCAAAGTCTAGTCAATCTGAAGTTGCCAAAGCCGCCAAAACTAATGAACCTCCTGTATCGTCTACCTTCGAAGACAGCGATGTCGATGATTGTGATAATTATCGTGTTATCATCTCTAAGTAGTTAACTTTAATTTGCTTTTCTATCGTTTATATATTTTACGTTGAAGTTGTAATCGGGATTTTAAAAAACTCTAGACAAAAATATGTTATCATTGTCAGGATTTTATTGAGGTTCCAACGCTGTTAGTTGGTGTTACGTTGTACAGTGTGTTATTTTGGGAAATTTCATACACATAGTTCCCTTTATTTTCTTGAAGAGAGCAAGAACGAAGATTGATGCAGAATAATATATGAATTCACTTTATTTCGTCAAGTTCTCATCAGCCGTGTACAACTTATAATATTTTAAAATCAATGTTATTACAGATATTTGCATATTTATACCTACGACGTTAATTAAAGATGAATATATGTATCATGATGTAGCGAAGATTTCAATAGAGTTAACATGGTCATAAAAATTTTGTTTCAGATAAAGCTTGGGAAAGAAACTTCCTGAACATTGAATTAGTGATTAGAACTCGTGGAGTTAACAAACATTAGATGATTATAGAACGAAACAACTGAAAACAGATTAATGGTAGTAAAGAAGTATCTGAATTGAAATCACTCAGCTATCAGTTGAAGAAAAACGACAATGATGTAATCAAATTTAAGGAGTTGAAATTGATTGTTTTGATGAATAATACCATTTTACTTAATATTTTTAACTTACCTTTGTGATTCCACGTCACTCTCATGCTATCCCTCCAGCCTTTGACCTAAAGGTCTAATCCACAAGCCAGTGAAGTAGCGTCAGGAAATGTAGTCTCATGGTAGCCGGTGATCAACAGTATATTCATACGCCATTTATTCCCTCAAGATTATTGAGACCATGTGTTACATTGGTTTCGGTTTCCAAACTCTGCTAGGGGGGTCCTCCATTCTTACCAACTCGGTTAAGTCGCTGAACAACCACTTTTCGTCCTCTCGAGTTCGTAAGCAAGACAGTGAGTAGGAGTTCCCTGGTAGTGGCTGTATACGCATAGTCATATCAGAGCATTTCGGAGGGTGGGTGGACTCTTCCCACCTCCTGTACCAGGGCATTTGAGAGCCTTATACTTATTATCCTACGCTGTCAAATGTGCCAAACGATACATAAGACTGCTTCAATTGGAGTATTTATTTTCTGTCCCATTCAGTATTTCGTACGTGAGGTTCATGCTTTATCGTGGCTTTTCAATTGTCAATTTTGTTTTTCTGTTATTTATATTTGTAACATTGTTCTTAAACAATTGTTTTTTGTTTACTTTCACTTTAAATATTAGATCAAATGCACATGGTTCCACATCTAGTGATTCAGTATTCAGTCGTTTAGGTAATACTGTAAATAGAGAGGATTCACCTACAAGTATACTTATAAAAAAAACGACAGATCCATCTGCTGCAATGCAACGCTTTATTCGTTGGAATTTAAATGACAATAGTCTTGGATCACCTTTTCGTCCTTCACCATCTGTTGCAGAAACTATTATGAACTCACCAGAGGATTCTTTGAATTTTAAAGTTGTTAAACAAGTTAGCGGTCTTACAAAAAGCCTTGATCAGTCTGTTAAATTAAGAACACCTCTTAAACGACATGTAAGTATTCATTATCTGTGTCTCACCAGTGTGCAAAAATTCATATCTTTGTCTCAGTAACAGGAGACGGTAATTTTTGATTGATGGTTCTCTCGCTGTAATAAGTGATTTTGTTTTAATCATCAATTAACTACTGATCTCAAGTCAGTACATTTAATCAAAAAACCTCCATTTTAACCTCTCGAGTTTTTGACATGCTTTAAGTGAAGGGTGATAATAATACACGTTTGTCAAACTGGAGTTAATAAGGTGGAGTTTCAATGTTCGGCTTTGTGTTTGAATGACATGTTTTTCAACTACTAAACCACTATTTATTCTTTTAGAAGCTGATATTCATTACCAGTTTGCACCAGGCTTGTGTACGATTATGTCAGAAAACCATTGCAAATTACATGAAGGTATTAGGTAATATATTTTTAGATGCAGTTGTCAACTCACAGTCATGAAAGCTTTCTGTTAGAAATACTTCAGTGTCCTCATCCGAGGCAATATTAGCTCATTCGAAGGCATATAAAGACAGTTAGAAATCATACTCTAGTCATTGTATTTTATTTTTTAACTTAAATTCCTTTTTTTTCACATCTCACTTATCTTTATTGTTATTGATTTAATTATCATTGTGTACACAGGCTTCTGATACGGTATTTAGTCGTTTAAGTGCTCCATCAACTACTGTACAACTAAATGATCAACTCTCTTACCAAGGGATTTTGAAGAAGTCACGAATTCAACCTCCTAAATTTAACAATGAATCGATGTCTCCATGTTCTCTAAATAGCCTTCTTTCTCCACACACCGAAGGTGTACTTAGCCAGAGTCGTATGCAAAAAGTTTCGGTAAAAAACCGCTTAGGTAATTGATTTATTCATTTAAGAAATTTGTTTCGCTTAATTCTTATGCCCTACTTTATTTTAATGTGTACAAAATATGAATTTATTGAATACAAATTGACGTTTTTCCCTATTCTGTCGATCGTCTGTTACTATAATCTCTATTTTTACATGATAGGTGGAGCAGTTTTTTATTTTATGGCAATGAAACGTTTAATAGCCACACCTACTAGATCTGTTGAATTGATTTGACTGCTCAGATCGAAGTCAATGTATTTCATACCCTATTGATAAAAAATAAGATCCACAGACGTCTGTGCTACGGTTTATCCTTCTATTGATTTATCTCTCAATCTCAATCTCAACGTGAATTGCTGGGTCATGTTTTTTAAAACCTAAATCCACTTTATTTAATTCAAACCATACAGAAGTCCGTCATTTGTAGTCCAACTTAAACTACTACATTGTTAATATATTATTGCGAACCGTTTTAGGATTTATTCATAGACCTATTTACAGTCACTTGTGATTCTACACTCTATCCTTCAATATCATAAGTCCCCACTGACCTACTTCCTGCCATTAAGATTCATACTCTGCTTCTTAAATACCGATTTCTCACTTGTCGTTTCGCATTTCGGTACGAGCTAGTGGACAAACATTTTCCTTTTAGAGATAAACGTTCTATAATTATGGGTACGATGATTTATATCAGACTCTACAAAGTTAACGAAAACAACGAAGGTGGTTTAGTTGAAACAGACTCCAGTAAAGTGTATGACTCTTTCTAAATATATTGGGAATTTGGATAAATTTGGGTTCTGTATTTATAATGTACTGCTCCCTCAAGAAGATATTTCAGACTTTCTTATTATTAAAGAGGATAATTTTTACAGACTGTTTTCATAATTCACTACATGAATATTATTGAATGATTAAAGATTATATCGCTTGTTAGGTTTTAAACAAGGAGTTGATTGTTGTCTTTTGGCTATATAAGCATTACATGTAATTAAATTCCTTAAACCATAAAGTATGTTATATGTAGTACATTATTATTCTGAGTGAATATAATTTGGACTTAATTCAATCTAGGTTTAGGAGATTTGCTTTAAAAATTTTATTGAGATGTGTTGGTAGAATTTGAGTCATAAAGGGCAGATTACTTTATTAAATTATCAAAAGTTTGTCTCCCTAATTTTTTGGTTTATCTTGTGAATCCCTGTCTCTTTAGCGGATCGTTGGATGTTAACGGCAATTATTAGAAGTTCACAGTGATATTGATGTTCGAATGCTTAGTGCACATCAGTGGTGCATCAATTTGACAGTTGGTTTCTCGCTCATGGGTTATTTGTTTCACTGGGGTTTCGGTTACACTTCTAAATAATTGTTTCTTCATCTTAGAAGTAAATGGGAAAAAATTACATTATTGCAACAAAGAGTTTCTTCTATAACCTAAAGAAAGGAAAATTAATTGTTTATTAAATTTATTGTTAAATTCCTCATGTCAGTAAACTGCCTTCATTTATGAAATGGTGGCGAAGATTTGTAGCTCAGGTGGATGATTTTTACTTCTACCTGAATTTCGTGCCGATTATGTCGTTTATAATGACAATGAAAGCTCCACGAACAAACCATTCAGCTCAGAGAACAAAACTCCATAAAAATGTCTTCCTCTATATTTTATAGGATTGTCAATGTGACTACTTATAAGTAGTCAAGTTTCGTTTCTATTTCTTCTGACTTTAAGTATACAAAGCTATATGCCATTTTCTTATAGCTTTTAAGAAATTCCCTTATGAAAGTCGATATGTAAAATACACAATACTTTGTTTTTCAGTAGAAATATATTTATGCTCTATAAATATGCGCATTATATTGATATTTGGGTTTTTTAATCTAGGAATGGTTGTTTGCATTCTCAGTTTTACATGAAGGTCCAGATACCATAAAATTAACTTAACAAATCATTCTAATGTCAGTCGTTTTGGTGAGAAAAATATCACACAACTGTTTCATTATTTTTAGTATATGTATATACACAGTTTGATCAGTACATAATCTATTTTTTCAAGTTATACAAGAACAATTTTTCCCATCAATATTTTACTTAAATTTTCTTTATGTTTTAGGCAACAGACAAGGAAAGTCTAACGCTCCAGTTCATTCTAGACTTGGTCGAGCATCTAATCCAGTATGAATAATCTGATTTTCATGACTTTTACTGAACTTAGTGTATATATACATAAATATATTTCGCATACCATAAAATATAAATTTAGGTATCCATTTAATTCTTTTTTATTCACATGAAAGTTACTAAATTTTCTTTTAAGTACTTCAGCGAGCAAGTCAGTGTATACATCATATCAAGTTATTTCGTAAATAGACTATTTAACAAGTTCTCATCTAACTTAGATATTGAATTTCTTCAACTTGTTTTCTAAAATCTATGTGCGAATATATGTGCATCAAACGTTGCATAGTTGAATCGTCTATGAGTCTGTATATCTCATCTGTATCGGGATTATTTTTATTAACTACTACTAGTTAGTGTTCTAGATTGCGTTCATTTACCGCCTGTCCACGAGATTCAATTTTAATTTATAAACACGTAGTTTAATTTCACTTAGGCAAATTTGCGTTGAGTGTTAAAAAGCTTCGTTTTGTAATTTTAGCAGTTATTTGAAGGGTTAAAGGATCTCTTTGGTAATACCGTTAACACTGACTACAGAGAACTATAAAACTCAATGCAAGTGAATGGAGCAATAGCATTTGAACCTGGTAGAATGTACGTATATTTGTGATATTTAAGTGATCGATACTTCCCAGATGTTCTCTATAAAGTGGAGAAAAAACTACTGTAATAGCTGTTTGTGGATCCTTCTTAACAATTATGTTCGGTGACCCATTATTCTAGTTTATTGGTTATAAACACTGATGACTAAACTACACAATATACTACTAACCTCTTTTGTGGGCTTTATATTTAGGATGATTATTTTTAGTTACTCATCATCATGTAGCGAACTAAGGCTCAGGTGGGGAGATCAGTTTATTGTTTAATGCACAATCACACAGTGGTTTAGCGAAATGTAAAAATCATACATCGAATACATTATTTGAAGATCTTCAAATTGTCTCTTACAAGTTTTATTGTTCCTTCATTCGTGTTGTTATCTTGATTGCTTCCAGTCTCCTTTTTTTCCATTTAAATTTTCTCGACTTTCTGCTGCCAAGTATTCCACCACAATAATAATCTTAGGTGTCAGTTTCACTTTAAACTTAATTCTTGAGTTTGCAAAAGCTAATTAACCATATGAAACAACTTAATTTGTATGTTATTATGTGAAAAAAAAGAAACTGTCTAGACATCAGGTATTCTCAAAAAATAAACAACTTATTTACTATTATTAAAACAAATTAGAAAACTTGAAACAATTATGTGGACATTTATCAAATGTAGTCTTCAAAATAAATAATTATTGCCGTTTTTAAAATAAAAATTACAGCAGATCATTATTGATCATTTCATGATTAGTCACTTTTGAGATAGTACTGCTATGTAGAGCTGAAGGTCTCATATGAGACTAGAGGTTCGCTATTGATATTCTGGGTGGTTCTGCATTACTTTTGTTATGATTTTATGTCCGGCTTCTTATAACGTGACTTATCCACCAATCAAAATACGACTTATACAATCTTAGCATTGTGCCAAACCAATGACGTTCGACCGGTATGAGCAGCCTAGCGTCCTTATTAGTCTTATGTCCGCGTAGCCCGTCCACTTGAGTCCAGAACACAATACCAGCTTCTGCAATATGAATAATTTATTTCAAACATACTCGGTTTATATATCAACCAGACAGACCACAACGTACCGTAAAATAGAAAATAATATGTGTACACAATAGAGCCAAAAAGTAGCTGTGAATGAGGGAGATAGTAATTAATAGACAGGCTATAACTCAAGAATGATAAATCATGTAGTAATAGTCTATGGGTTAAATTAAAGCTTATAATAAGAAGAATATAAATATACATAATCTAATTATTGAATAATTATACAATGAGAATATTTATAGAATATTAGTCCATTAATAGTCCTCGGAAGTTACCTGTAATTTAATCTTCACTGGGATATAACAACTTTGGCAAGTTTTGCTGACTGTTCATACTCAAAATTGGTTTGCTGACTAACCGATTTCATTTATACTGGTGGTTACTTCTCAATGTTCTCAAGGGCCATTGTCATTGGGTCATTTTAAGGCATGTTGCCATTGCTAACACTAATGAGTTTGTGTTAGGATAGTCGGAAAAAGAGACCAATAATTATCATGTTAAGTCCAATGGTGTCCTTGAACCTTAAATGTACATTTCTTATTGGTCGATGTTTATTTGACTTGTTAAATATTTTGTAAATGTTGTTTCCTATTTTATGGTACGATGTGGTATGCTTGGTTGGTATATAAACAAAGTATGTTTGAAATATAATGATTCATAACTCCGAGGCTGTGACTTGCGTTCTAATCTCAACTGGCTAGGACAGACAGCGAAGCAGGGCCAATCAGGGCACTAGGTCGTCCATTACATGTTTACGTGTCACTGTTCATTGTAATCGATAAATAACGCTGCGTATCCAAACCCTGCAGTCACCCACACGTTACAACAGTTTGATTGTCGTGTAAGCCGAATAGGTCAACTTTGGCCTGTTCGTGCTGTGCGTAATTGATTCACGCAATCAATGATCGGAATAATATATGTAGTGTGTATGAATGATGCGAATGGTCCACCAGGGTGTTGGGTACATGTGTGATTGCGCCACAGGATTGAGCTGTGCTATTCAGATTGTAGCCTATATGGTGTCTGTATCTGAGCTGTACTGCTCGAGTTGAGCCTGGGAGGTGTCTGTGTCTCCTGCGAAACGGGATTAAGCTGTACTGTTTGGGTTGTCACGTGAAAGTCTGGGTGGTTTCCGGTCATCCTGAAAACCAATATAAAATTAACTCTAGCCTATAAGGGTATGTTATATAACTGTGAACTTTAGTATCAGTGTAACAGTTAATAATAGTTATTTGCAAGCCTCTTATTTTATTGATTATTAGTTATATTACCGTTACTGCACTCTGAAACTAGCCTTCAAGTACACTGTTACAATTTATGTATTGTTGAACACACTCGTCGAAACAGATATGATTCACCTTGTATAAACTACTCACTTAAATCGAGAAGAAACTCTTTTTTTTTAAAAATTAAAGAATGATTTATAATGCGAAAAGAAACTTCAAATAATCTTATTTTATGGGATATAATTTATTCTCTTGTATTTCCTATCAAAACTAACCATAATAAATTGCATGCAGAAGCCATACTACTGAGTTTAAAATTTTTTATTACTATTCATAGTTTACTCTTGTACGTTTTATTATATGCTATCATTTTACTCAGTAGCTAAGTGGATAACGCGACGGCGTTTGAAGCGAACGGTACTGGGTTCGAATCACAGAGTGAACATCAACTCTGAGGTGCAGGTACATTCAGCTGACGAGTCCCAAATGGGACGAAACACTCGTCCTGGATTCGAATGCTAGCCATTATCCATCTTTACTTATATTGCTTGTGAATTAAAGCAATACTCACAGTATGCACATATACCAATAGCAGACTGGTCAATTGCAGTCTTAAACATCAATGGGAAGATTCAAGTAAAAAATATTAAGTGAATTTTACAAAGTTGTTTTGATTACAGATTATAAGTAACATTTATGAAGAAAATGTTAGTTTTTGGATCTAAGCTTTAAAAAGTAAAATGTACACACAGTGGAATAAAGAGTTTATATGAGGTTATTTTAGATGAACATTTGGAAATATTGTGTTTTGAATAAAGAGTTATACTGGATATTTGTTTTTTAGATAACTTTAAATTTTGTTTCTAATTTGTTTGTTTATTTGTATATATGTATGTTTATTTGATCAGTTGTATATTGAGTTTATCAGTGGTACAGAAATTGTACATCTTTGCTCTTAAATAACTGTAATAAAAAATATTAAATACCATCAATAATGCATAACAGTAATAATAGTCTATGTGTAATAATAATATATAACTTATTCATTCAGTAATGTATAATATTTCAGTTTTTGTATGATCATTACGTTTATTACGCTTTCTAAAACGTAGTAAACGATTTGACAAAGCTGTTTTAAATGATCCAGTCAATATACTATACACAACAGGATTTACACATGATGCAGCAAATGATAATGTTTGTGATAATAGTTTTGCTATTTTCATCGCTGGTACAAATGGAAAACTAGCTTCATCAAAAAAGAACCATGAATTAATTATATGTGTTGGTAGCCAACATACACCCCATAATGTAGTGACTAATACAACCAGTTTAGTCGCTTTAGAACGTAAACGTTTTTTCTTTAATTCTCGTGTAGCACGTATCAATTCATTTGGATTTTGTTGTATATTTTCATGGAAATCACACTTTTGTAAACAATTTTTTGTACTAGAACGATGCCCAGTTCCAATATTACTAGTTGTACTAGTATTATAATCTGATGTCGTAGTATCATCAGATAATTGTTGTTCTAAGCGTTGTTGCTGGCGATGATGATGAGGATGATTGTCATAATTGTGGGATATATTTTCATGTGTATCATCAGACCTATGTGATCCACATTGTTGTTGTATACTAAATAATCTTCGTTTCTTTGTTGATTTTTGACTTGAATTAAATGATTCATTAGTGTTACTGTTATTATTGGTAACACTATTATTGTTGTTTCTTGTATAAATGGAATTGTCATGCAAAGAAGTACGTTTTAATTGACCTGTTTCTCGTTCTGCCACATTCTGTAGATAAGAAGGAAGAAATGGATGTTCTAATACAGTTTTTTAGTGGTATACAAAATGAAATATTGATTTAATTAAAATTGGACAGGAAAGAAAACTTCTAGATAATTAAATTCATAGTGTCAATAGTGTTAAGTGATTTCTAAAGTTTATTTCTTAAGAAAGAAGATAATTTCATGTGATCTTTGGCTTAAATTTGAACAGAAAATTTCAAAATAGTTTCGATTCAAAACATATGGGGCGAGACGGTAATTTATGGACGAGCCAATCAGAAGCGTTAGGGGGATTTCAAGGTCACGGCGCCTATTTTAGTACCTGATGTTCACGTACGGTCGATTTACAGTGGATTTTAAAGAAGACGTGATAAGTGAGCGGCTATGACAAATGGGACTACTAAGAAGTCCCATTATCTGTGACTGTGGTA